TTATTGCCCAAAAGCCTGAGGAACAGAAATGGGTTTGTACAACCTGCCCTGTTGATTTTGAGACTGAAGTTATAAGCAATGTCTATACGTAAGATTTACCAAGAGCCTACAAACAAGAGCAAATTTAGCAGTTAAAACTGTTTCCTTAAAATAAAACAGTGTTAATGTTAGATAAATTAAATATTACATCATGAATTTCAAGCAACAGAAGTTGGAAATATCCTAATTAACAGCTTACCTCTCCCTCTCAGGAAGGGAAAACTCATCTTCTTTATAACACCAGAGGGGATTTCTGTGCAATCTGTGCTTCCCAGCTTTTCCAACGTGAATATTATAAAACCCTTTCTAGCCATTTTAATCTGCAGGTTCCCAGAACTGCTCACTAGAGCACAAGAGAGAATTCTAAAATTTCCTCTTCACCAAAATGAAATATTTATTAGGAAATGTCTTAGAGTTACATTTTTGCCCTTTTCTCCATTAACCTAGATTAATAGATCGAGCAGGAACAGAGCAAGGAATGCACCACCAGCAGTGACACACATACAGGACCACCACAGAACACAACCTACCCCCATCTCAGGCTGGCAGATGACAGTGTAGAGCACAAACACCACTCCCCTCCCAACCCATCCACATCAGTGGAAGATAATATTTTTAGTATCTGTCATCACCTCTAGTCCTCTATCACCTGCTACCATCACCACCAATCAACAGAGTAATCCCCACAAGACCTTCCCTTCCCACCTCACTTCAGATGTGATCAATTAGCTTAGAATAAAAGTTTCAGCACATCAGAAAAAGTCTGCACAAACTGCTCCTTCAGCACACCTGTAGAGATGGTGAATTCCAGTCAAAAGGTAGTGACAAACACCTGGACACATGAACTACTTTCACCATCACAACTGAATTAGAAAAAAAAGCTTACCCAAGCTTAGTTCTTTACATAATGATAATTTTATCTCCTACATTAACTTAAAATGTAAAATCATTCTCACCAACTTCACAAGTCTACAAAGTTATAATTTTTTTACAAAAGTAGTAGACATAATTAAAATGGTATAAGATTATAGAATAAGGAATTGACATTAATCTAAATTTAAAAGTATATCTGCCATTTGCCACAGTTAATGGGAAAGTGAACAGATACATCATCCCAGGTAACATTCAATTTTGTCTGAGCTGCCAAAAACATACAATACCTTCTTCAAAAATTTGTCTGTACCCAAACTGGTTGTCACAGCCACCAGTGCCTCCCTACTGCCTAAATATTTCCTTTTGATGTGCTCATTCTATTTAAAAACCCCACAAAACCTCACAGTCATTACAAGATAAGATTCCATATGCACTGCAAAAAACCCAAACCAAATCAAACCAAAACCCAACAAACTCAAAGGATACTGTTTTAGATGGCATTCTGCCTGTGCCCAGAGCACCCCTCTCCCAGGACAGAACCCTACCATGCCCACACAGCCAGGCTGCTCCACTGTGCAATCCTAGTTAAGCCTCTCAAGACTTGCAGGCTTGCTCATACTGCAAGGTATTAAAAAAAACCCAAACCATATTTTGGTTGCATCCACTAGGCAACCAGGCAAAGAAACCTCTTGGTGTACATACTTCACAGCACACCTACTTCCAAATAATTCGGTGCCTGCTCTGCTATACAACCTGTAGGATCACAGTCATATAGCAAGTTAACTGATACTACTACCCAGTCACATCTTCAAAATGTTTGCTGTTGCCATAAGTTGCTTCTCCAAGTCTATTCCACTGCTATAAAAAAATGACCTACAAGCAGTAACACAGAATACATTATAGTAGAACTGGAAACTTCATCTCTTCCCTGCCTCCTAACTTCTCTTTGCAGACTATATTCAAAAAATCCCTTTTACAATATTCAGTCCTTACATTCAGCCCTATGTGATTGTCTATTGCTGTTCCACATACACGTCTAACACACGTAGAACTCCATCAGCTTCTTTTCTAATCATCTGTGATGCAACAATATTCCAAATATTTGACCAACTGTGGAAACAAATGAAGCTTTTTCTCTCTTCAAGAAAGGAAAAACAAAATAAGCCAAATGTAAAACTTTAAATGATTATGCTTGCCATTGTCTTCTGTAAAACTAAGCTTTTATCCCTCAGCTTTGTTACTTTTCCTGTTTAAAAATAAATAAATAGGGACTAGGCTCCCTCACTGTTTGCTTTATGGCAAAACACCTTCTTCACTCCTCCACTTCTTACATGTAGCTGCACTTGAAAGAATAAAGACTGATAAAGACCAAAAAATACCTTACACTTGCAGTTAGTAACTACTTACAGTAATTATAATTTTAAGTGGTTTGTAACTACAGTACATACTTTATACATCCAATCTTTTAAAACTTTAGACATGAATTGGTACCTGCTGTCATAATTCCATTCATTTTCCAAGAGATACAATTGGCCAAGTAAAATTCCACAACAGGTATCACATTATAAGATCTTCTACCATTTCTTCCAGATCTAGGTTGCCTAAAAAACTTTATTGGTGTAAGTATTTTTGTAAGTCTGTATTACTTAAGCACAGCTGAGAAGTTAAGATACTTTCATTCCTCCTAATAGTCCTTGAAAGCCCACAGGACTGGAAAAGACCCATGAAACTGTTTAAGTTTAGCCACAGTTTATCAGTAGAAACCTGTTTAAACACTAAATCAAACATACACAATACAATCATGATTTCTTCTCCCTGGTACTCAAGGGGAAAAAAAAAAAATACAAACCAAATATGAATTCAAATCCTTATCGCCAGGTAACATAACCCTGAAACCACAAAGTAAAAAAAAAAAAAAAAAGTAGCAGTGATAGATAATGGTAATAGAATCCAGCTGTGCTGAGTGGAATGCTGAAAGCCAGCTCGTCTCACCTGCTGGGAAATGGTCTTCTTTCCCATCAGGTGACGTAGTCAGTGACTACAACAGTAGCACTAACATAACAGACTACCATGTCTAAGCTAAGAGAATTCTTTACCTTTCTTTTAAAAAGATATTCTAGCAAATTATTTGCAAAGAATGCCTCATCTGAATATAAGCTTTTATAGAACCTAAATGGTATAAGAGACCAGCCAATGAAACCAGGCTCTCTGAAGTACAGAGTTAATCCCCAAGTTGTTAATTTAAACCTCAAGACTTGATTTTCTCCCTCTTCAAAAACTGTCAGCTTGCACAACACACCATAGATAACATACGAACTACACAGAATTGCAAATCGTCGCTCCTAATGCCACCCTGTGGTACTGAGTGTGTAATATAATTAAACTGAAAGAAAAATGATGCCTTTACAATATTGCAAAAGCCCTTGTTCTTGCATTACAGCTTCTTAAGTTTTCTATACTACTCATCACTTAACCTCTTAGAACTTGTATTATTACTGAAAACTCTAGGTTCTGTGATAAACCAGATGCCTGAATATATTAGCTGCCACACAGAAAACATCTAAAGGAATTTACCATTCTAGATAACCAACAGCCTAAGAGAAAAAGCAGTCTGCTGCAAAAAAACCCCAGGGAGTTTGAAAAACTATTGACATGGCTTCTGTATTCATCACAACAAAAACTTTAATGAACAACAGTGGGGGGTGTCATAAAGCACTTACATGGTGGCCGACTGGATGTGCCCTCTTAAATGTGAGATCATGTAACAAGTAGGCAACAAACTCTGGTATCCCAAACATCAGAGCAGGGAGCTCCCTTCCTGGTACGAGCAAGACCTCAGTGGCAAACTGGGGATAAATCACTGAACAGCTACAAAGTGAAAACAAGAATCCTATGTACGATAATGATAGGAAGTAGAAACCCAAATAGGATTTAAATAGGACAATATGGTCAAAGCAATGACCTAAGCAAGCTACCTCTGGAGTGGCAACCTGGACAGTCGAAAGCATAGCAAGAATTCAAGGGTCAAAGGAATGATGTTGCTAGAAACATGACGTGAATCGACTAGTCTGGAAAAGAACTTCAAGAAAAGAGCATAGGCCACAGAGAGCCTTCACAAAAGGTACCCGTTCTGGTAAGAGAAATTACTGCTCAATCTGCCCTGCGCTGTCTATAAGGATTAACTCTCCTCTTTGCAGCTACGCTAAAAAGGAGGTCTTCAGGTCAGTAGCACGTTTGCCCTGTTATCTAAATTCCCCATTAATCCAAAATATGCTTTGGAGAAGAGGAAACACAACAAGCAACAGTCTTAAACCAATGCTTTGGGTTACCTACTTTTCTTTGGGTGCGCTTTATATCATCTAGCAGTATAGGATCACATACACTTACCAGGGAAAAGAAAAAAGGAGGGGAGGAAGAAAGAACCCAAATTCTTCAGTCCAGCACTTCCTAACTTTTAAAACCCAGAACCAAGGCTTCTGACTTTCTGAACCCCTGTTTGAGGCACATGAAACGTTTTGTGACCAGGCAGCCACATCACACAGCATCAGACTATACAGTCAGTTTTAAGAACCAGAGTAAGAAAAGAAAACTGAAAGTACAAAGCATTTTTAAAGGGCAGTCATGCCCAACTATTGACCAAATTCTAACTTTAACAACTCCGATCCCATTAGTCATGGACTTTCAAGCAGCGCAGAAACAACTTCCAAAGTATCCTTGTGCTGTGCAGCCCATTCTCAGTGGCTCACCAATCCCCTCTGAAAGAAGAAAGCTCTGCACACCACAAAGGGTCTCCTGGGTCTCCATAGGACTATCCATCAGCTTCCCCTTCCCCAGCTAAGGGATCTGTTGCACAAGAATGTAATTGTGCAGGGTTTTTAAAATACAGGATTGCATCTCACACAGGAATATTTTCACACGTCCAATGCTTCACATAAAATGCAGAAATCACTACTTCATATCTGCAGTTTGTCATAAATTAAAAATTTCTATATCGGTTATGTGAGTGTGACAAACAGGTAACTGAAATCACTTACATGATGCAAACTTTTAGCTTCAATACCACGGGTAGTTACAACAGATCACATTACCTGAATTACACTGAGAAGTCTCTCAGGGCAACTTCCACTTTCCTGGACTCTGTTCCTTCTTCAAACATTTAAAGACAATCTAAGAAAATGGGGAAAAAAAACACAAGGTTTTTTTTTCCAAGACAGATATGTTTTTTCCACAGAAAAGTAACACCTCCCCCCCCGCTTCGCGTTTACAACTACGATTATGCTACTTTTGCCCTGATTGTGTCTCCTGTTAATTACAAAGAAATGAAGCCTCCAGATCCTGCGTCTACGCGAGCATCTGTCTGCTACAAGATGAAACGCGAAGACGCAGCCACAACCAGTTGGGTGCCGCGACTGCTCCCGCCACCAGCCTCCACAAAGAGAGCAGCGACGGCGGGGCGTGGGGCAGGTAAAGCGGCGAGGTTCTCTCCGCGGCATCTGGAACCCGCTGAGGAGCCCCCGAGGCGGCAGCCCAGCTCTCCCCCCCCCCCCCCCACCCCCCACCCCGTCCCAGGCCTGCTGCAGAGCGTTCCGCTCCGCGCTTCCTCCGCGCCAGGCCCGGAGCTCGGCAAACCCCGCCACCGCACCCGCGGCTGCCGGGCTGAGGTGAGGGGCTCCGCTTCAGCGCTGCCGGCCCGGGCCTGCCCGCTCCCCGGCCGCGGCGGCACAGGGGCACCCTCCTCCTCCTCCTCCTCCTCCTCCTCCTCCTCCTCCCCGCAAGGCCATGCACCGCCCCCCCCCCACCCCGCGGGCGGCAGCGGAGCTCGCAGCGGGCCCGCCTCCGTCCCGCCGAGCACGCACCTCCGCCGGCGCCGGCCCCGGAGGCGGCGGGTCGGGGGGCGTCGGGGCTGCCCGGGCGCGGGGGGCTCCGGCCGCCGCCGCCGCCGCCGATTCCGCGGCCAAACACCTCAGCCTCCCCGCTCCAACGGTCCCCGGCCGCCTCGCGGCGCCCAGCCAATCCCAGCACGCCTCCGCAAGGGCGCGCGCACACTCGCCAATCTGAGCCCGCGCCCGCCTCACCCCCTCCCCGCCCCTCCGATCGGCAACCAGCCAATCATCAGCCGGGACCCTCAGTCCCCGCCCCCCTCCCGCGCCGCGCGGCTCCGCCCGGCCGCCAATCACGACGCAGACGCTTCACCGGCGGGGCGGACGTGCTTGCGCTCCCCCCCCCCCCCCCCCCCCCCCCCCCCCCCCACGCTCCCCGCCCCGCGCCGCGCCGCGCGCTCCCCCTTTCCCTCAGCCAATCGGCGACCGGGGCGCTCGTGCTCCCCAGCCAATCAGAGGCCGCCCCGCGCGCTCCCGTCCCTGCCACAGCGGCGGCGCGCAGGCGCAGTGCGCGCGCCCGGGCTGGCGCTTCCCTGAGGGGAGCGGGGCCGCCCCTGGGCCCTCAGAGCTGTGTGGAGCTTCTTAAAGCCCTTTATGAGTCTGGAGGTAACTGTGGAAACCCTGTTCTTGAGCCTGAAGGGCGGATCTGTCAGTGGGACAGGGGGAGGCCCGGCACGGGTGGACTTTGGTGGAGTACTCCGTGGTGTTGCTGTGACTCCAGAAAGCAAAGTGTGCTGTGTGTATGTATATATATACAGGAGGTATATAGGACGAGGGGTGACGGTTTTAAACTGACAGAGGGCAGATTTAGGTGAGATCTAAGGCAGAAATCCTTACCTGTGCGGGGGGCGAGGCGCTGGCCCAGGGTGCCCAGAGCAGCTGTGGCTGCCCCCTCCCTGGAAGGGTTCAAGGCCAGGTTGGACGGGGCTGGGAGCCCCCTGGGCTGGGGGAAGGGGGCCCTGCCCGGGTCAGGGGGTGCCACTGGGGGGGCTTTAAGGTCCCATCCAACCCAAAGCAGTCTGTGAGTCTATATATGTATCAAAGCCCTACAGAGCCAGTCGCTCTGGTGCTGCTCGCCATGTGGTGCTCTGTGCAGAGCTGTGGCTCGCTTTTGTCCGCAGGAGCGTTGGTGAGTTCCAAGGGTTGAGCTGGGGCCCTGCCCAGGGCCGGGACTGGAGGGGAGGGTGTGGGATGGAACCTGCAGCAGTCAGCCCACAGCCCCTCAGCAGCCATCACCAGAGCGGTCTGCAGGATCCCCCACTGAAGGTCAGACGCTGGTGTAGTGCCTTTGCAATGTCAGTATGCCTTGCTGTGGTTATACCTTCAGCAGCCTTCGTGGGCTGGGAGGGCAGCTTTGGCTTGTAAGGAACTGTGCACTTCAAGGATGTGTCACTTGTACACTAGGGGAGTCTTCTAAAAGCACCCTGCTGTGTCTCACAGCTTCCCCCACCAGAGGAATAGCAAGTTTTTCAAATGACAATCTCCCCTGCTCCATTCTTTGACCATCTGTGCCTGGCTGGGTAACGCTATTGCATAGCAATCAGCTCTATTACAGCTTGGCGTGCTGGCAACCAATCGTAGTACAAACAGTCACAGCAATGACTAGTACGTGAGTGTTTTCTGAGGAAGATTGGACAGGATGGGCATCTGCTCCCGGCTGTGCGTGCAGTCTCTCTCTGATCAGTCTCCCTGTGTGGAAATGCCATGGTTCCTTCTGCAAGATGTTTTCTGTGCCTGTGGGAAAGGAACAGGATTCTTACACTGTGTGTGGAGAGGAGGGACTACTAACATTTTGCATGTGTGGGAGGGAGATCCTTTGTCATGAGGGAATAAGAAAATGAGAGGAAAAAAAGTGCTGCTTAGACGTTCTAGCTAGTGCTGCGTTAATGTTTATTCTGAGCTGTATATGTGCAAATGATAGTATGTGGTATTTTCCCGCATCCTGGAGTCAGGCCCATTAGCAGCAGTGGAACCAAATTCAGCAGAGGTGGCAGGGGGGGTTTGTTTCTGCTGGCTGCGTCTGTACTAGTAAATTAAGTAGCAGCAGGATGTAGGCATTGGCACTGGAATTTGATGGTACTGTTTAACTGTTGAAACAGTTAAGCAACCAATGTATTTTAGCATGTATATATAAGCTTCAGCCCTATTACTGTTCTCCCAAACATCTCCCAGGCAGTTCTGGGCATCTTGCAGGGGATATAGGCCATTCCTGGTAGGCAGTTTGGGTAGAATCACTTTTTTGTGCAGTCTGACAGGTTCTAGTAGTGTGGCCGCAGCCCATTCTGTGCCGTACAGTCTCATGCCTGTGAATATCCCTCGGGCAGGTTTCACACACTAGTCTAAATGCAGCTGCTGAATTCTCTCGATACAGAGTGGCTTACCTGAGGCTTTTTGCAGGGTGTGCAGCACAGCCATCGTAACCTCTCCTTCTATGACAATACCTTCATTATCTTTGCGGCATTTCACTGGACTGACACTTGTAAGTCCAGGTCTTTCTTGTACTGGGGAGCCCAGAGCTGAATGCTTTTCGCCAGCTGTGATCTCACTAGTGCTGAGAGAGGGGAAGGATCATCTCCCTCAGTCTGTTGAGGACACTCTGCTTACTGCAGCCTGGGATGCTGCTGACCTCCTTTGTCCCAAGGGCATTGCTGCTGGCCACCAGGACCCCAGGTCCTTTCCTGCCGACTTGTCTTCCAGCCACTTGTCCACCAGCCTGTACTGGCTGCAACTTGCTCCTCCTGAGTGCAGAACTTGGCATTTCCCTTTGAACGTGGAGAGGTTCTTTTATGCTCATTTTTCCAGCTTGGTGAGGCCTCTCTAAATGATGGCACAGTCATCTGGAAGTTCAACTGCTCCTCCCAGTTTTGTATCTTCTGCAAACTTACTGAGGTTTTACACTGTCCCATCATCTAGATCATTAATGAAGATGTTAAATGTCTGGACCCAGTACCAGGCCTCAGGGAGTGCCACTAATGACTGGCCTCCAACTGGATTTTGTGCCACGGATCATAACCTGCTGAGCCTGGCAGTGTTGAGTCCACCTCACTGCCCCCGATCTACTTTGTATTTCACCATTTTCTCCATGAGTATGTTATGGGAGAGAGTTTGAAAAACTGTGCTAAAGTCCAGGTAGACATCCACTGATGTTTCCTCATGACAGAAGGCTAGCAGGTTGGACATTTCCCTGCAGAAGGCCATAATGTTGCTTAGGCATGATTTTGTCTTCACTGACTGCTAATCACCTTCTTGCCCTTCATATGTTTCAAAATGGTTTCCCGACTTACTTGCTACATCACTTTCCCAGGGATTGAGGGGAGCCTGGATCTGCCTTGCCTTTCCTGATGATAGAAGTGACGTTTGCTTTTGTCCTGTCCTCGGGAACATCCCCCAATCAGCATGATCTTTCAGCTGTACCTTGGAATGGCCTTGCACTGACATCAGCTGGCTCCCTCATTCTGAGTGGGCACCAGCGCCTGGCAGAGGCAAACAGACTCTTCCCTTCTGAAGGGCTGTGGGTTGCCCAGCCCAAATAGGACAATATAGTCACACTAGTGTGTACTTAGTCCCTTGGATTATAACCTTTCCTTGACAAAGGAGAAACCAAGCCTGGGCTGTGGCCCAAACCAAAGTCACTGCAGAGGGGAGATTAATGGACATGGTTTGCACAAAACTCTTTCCATTCCCTCGTGGTCTTGCAGTACGGTTTCCTCCAAGATGCCAACATCCATCTGCCCAATAATGCTCCATTCTAGGTCACAGCCTCTCCAAGCTATTCAAGGGGAAAAAAAAAAAAAAAAAAAAAGGGAGCAGGAACCACAGCAATAGCACACAGGATATTTATGCAGCTAAAGAAGAACAGCAGCAGAAACTGTGCAGAGAGGGTACATCCTTCTGTAGGGTACGCTGATGTAGTCTTGAGAAAACAAACCAAGAGTATTAATAGTGTATGCAGGAGAGGCTGGTGTTAGGGCAGTGCAAGGGCTAAAGCAACAGCTGTCTTGCTCCAGAGCACCCCAGCTGGTTTGCTGTGCAGTCTCTTAGACTTAGGACACTATGGACACAAAGCATTTTCTCCCGCTTCACCTGGGAATCAGGAGACACTTTTTAACATGAATTAGAAAGGAAGTATTCCATTATATATGATAAAAATGCAAACACCTGCAGGGCTAGAGAGGAGTTTTCTGAGTGTTAAAAATGTCCTCATGTTGGACTTTGGTGAAGAGACATTTAGATGCCTTTATCTTCTTTGAGAATCTAACCCCCTGAGAGGGCTTCTTATCATCTAACTTGAGAAATCTAATAATGAGATAAATGAGTCTGCTCCCGACACCCTGGGATCCCTGGCCTTAAGCACTTGTCTCGTGTAACACTGTATTTGAAAACAGAGGAAATATATGAGCTTGTAGAAAGTCCTCACTTTGTATTCAGACGATGCCCAGCTGCTTGACAAGGGGAGACCAGCTGGGAGCTGAGGATGACCACTGTACAGTGCGTGGTCCCACAGGATACGAGCATGGCAGACAGAGCAAGGTGCTCAGCAGTGTCCGTCAACCGTCCCAGGCAATGCAGTGAATGAGGTTCAGGGTCCATCCAGGAGGTCATCCAGTCCTGCCCCTGGGAAAGAAGGTCCCTGCCAGCAGTGGGGGCTGGAGGCAGCTCTGCTGGAAAGGACCTGGGAGGCTTGGTAGACACAAGCTGAACTTGAGCCACCAGTGTGCCCCAGCACCAAAGGCCAACAGCGTCCTGGGCTGTTGGACCACAGGCCCACAGCCAGCAGGTCGAGGGAAGGGATCATCCCTCTCTGCTCAGCACTCGTTAGACCACACCTCGGTTCTGTGTCCTGTCCCGGGGCCTCTAATACAAGGGAGACATCAAAAACCAGGAGCGAGCTCAGCTGAGGGCCACCAAGATGCTCAGGGGACTGTAGCGCTTGCTCTGTGAGGGGAGGCTGAGGGACTGGGGCTTCTTCAGGCGGGAGAAGAAAAAAGGTTGAGGGAGTCCTGGTAGTCACCACCCTGCTCCTACAGGGAGGCCGACGGGGAGATGGAGCCAGGCTTGTCCCAGCGGTGCACGGTAGGAAGATGAGAGAAAAGAGGCAAGAGTCAGGCAGGATATAAAGAAAAAAC